GGCACAGCCTGCTCCGCCAGGGCGTGCCGATCTTTGAGTTAGACATGGATCAGATAGGTGCTGCTTTGCATGCTTTGTATGCTGACGCTTCTAGTGTTGATGGATCTTACTACCCTGTGTACTCTAGTTTAGGTGTTTCACCCTTGTGTAGCTTAGCTTCCCCTGCTGCGACAGGCGTAGGACTGCCTAGGTTGCCTAGTCTAGTCGCTGCACTGGCTCCGTCCCCGGCCCCCGCCACTGCGTCGCTGTCCTTCACTCTCGACTCTGGTGCTTCTGCCTGCTTCTTCCGCGACCGTTCCACGCTCACGCCGCTTGCTGCACCTGCTGTTGTCTCTCTCGCTGACCCCTCTGCGGGTCCGGTCGTCGCGCGCAGTTCTACGTCCCTTCCCTGTCCGGCAATTCCCTCGGGCTCCCTTACTGGCCTCCACGTTCCCTCGTTCTCCAGGAACCTGGTTGGTGTCGGCTGTCTCCAGGACCTCGGCGTCACCACCACGTTCCCCGGGCACGAGCGGTTCGCTGTCTGTTCTGAGGCTGTCTCAGGTTCCCCCCTTGCGACGTTCCCCCGGGACCCGGTGTCCGGTCTGTTTACCCTACACACCGCTTCCCCCCCGGTTGGTGCGTCCTCCCAGGTCGCTGCAGCTTGCTCGTGTCGGTCCCTCACTCACCCCTCCCTTCTCTGGCACCACCGCTTAGGTCACCCTGCTCTCCCGCGTCTGCGTCACATGTCCCAGCACGGTCTTGTCTTAGGTCTCCCCGCGTCGCTCCCTGCCCTTCCTCCCTCGACTGCGCCACCGTGCACGCCTTGCGTCGAGGGTCGGCTCCGCCGTGCTCCTCACTCCTCCTCGCTGCGTCCTGCTACTGCCCCCCTTCAGACCCTGCACTTGGACGTTTGGGGCCCTGCCCCCGTCCCCGGACCGCGCGGTGAGCGCTACTTCCTTGTGCTTGTCGACGACTACACGCGCTACACCACGGTGTTTCCCCTGGAGCGGAAGGCCGACGTGCCCGACGTTCTTCTCCCGTGGGTTGTGGCTGCGCGTCTCCACCGCGGTCTCCCCGAGTTGTGTCTCCACTCCGACCGTGGCGGCGAGTTCGCCTCTGGTCGGCTTGGACAGTTCTGTCGTGCGGAGGGCATCACCCAGTCGTACACGTTGCCGGACTCGCCACAGCAGAATGGGGTTGCTGAGCGCCGCATCGGCTTGGTCATGGAGGTCGCCCGTACCTCCATGATCCATGCCGATGCCCCCCATTTTCTGTGGCCGTTCGCTGTTCGCTACGCGGCTCACCAGCTTAACCTGTGGCCACGCTCCCAGCGGCCGCAGGTTTCGCCGACCCTCCTTTGGACCGGGTCCCCCGGTGACGCGTCTGCGTTCCACGTCTGGGGCTGCCTTGCTCACGTTTGTGCCTCTGGCACGGACAAGCTCACTGCCCGCACTGTCCCCTGTGTCTTCCTCGGTTTCCCCCTGGACTCGTCTGACTGGCTTTTCTACCACCCGCCGTCTCACCGCTTCCTCCACTCTCGTGACGTCACCTTTGATGAGTCCGTCTCCTTCTACCGCCGCTTCCCTCACCGAGGTCTCCCAGTTGCCCCCCCCCTTTTCCTTGCTCCCTCTCCCCCGGTAGCCCCTGCCCCTCTCCCGCCTCGTCCTGCCCCGTCTGGTGTCTCCCACGTCACTCCCCTCCCGTCGGTTGTCCCCGTTGAGGAGTCTGCTGACTCTGGTGGTACCCCCGGTCCGTCCTTGCCGCGTCCCCCTTCCCCGGTGCCTCCGCCCCCACTGTCGCAGTCGCCGACCCCGCTGCCGCCGCCGTCGCCGTCGCCGCCGCAGCCGTCGCCGCTGTCGTCGCCGCCGCCGCCGCTGTCGCTGCCGCAGCCGTCGCCGCTGTCGCCGCCGCCGCAGCCGTTGCCGCCACTGCCGCCGCTGCTCTCGGCCCCTGGGGGTGCTGGTGTGGAGGAGGGTGTTCGTCCTGCGGCTTCTGGGGGTGCCGCTGGTGTTGGAGGGGGTTCTCGCTCTGGGGGTGTTGGTTCTGGGGGTGCTGCTGTTGAGTGTTCTGCCGACGGTCGTTCTGCCTCTGCTGGTCCGAGAGTTCCGGCCCAGCCGTCGTCGCCGCCGCAGCAGCCGTCGCCGCCGGTTTCCGCTCTCCGCCTGCTCGGCCTTCCCTCCCCGGACCGCGCGCCGGTGTCTCCCCCACCGCCTCCTGACCTCCCTGTCTACGGTCCTGTGTTCCCGCCGCCAGACTCGTCTCCGGCCCGTCTTCCTCCTCGTTCCCCTCCTGTGTCTCCTCCGCTGTCCCCTGACCCTACCCCTCCGTCTCACGTTTGGGCTCGCCGTCCCTCCCGTGCTCGTCCCGTCTCTCCTGTCCTGCCCACCCACCCTATGTTGCTCCGTTCCCACTCGTCTCGTCCTCCCCTCCTCCCGTCCCCTCCTCCCTCGTCCCTTGCTGTTGCACCTCCTCCGTTCTCTGACTACCTCCGTGCTGCTCGTCCCCTTGTCCCTCGGGTCCTTGCCTCTCTTGTTACCGACCCTGCTGTTCCTGTCTCGCGCCTTGACGCGCTTGTCGCTGCTGTCGCTGACTTCGCTTCTACCCGCCGCCTTGACTACGCTACCGCTCTGGTCTCTGACCCTGCCCGTCCTCTGTCCCTCGGGGGTGCTCCTGCCCTTGGCAGTGACGTCCTAGAGGACAGGCAGTACGAGCTGGCTTTCCTTTCCGAGGCTGCTCCCCATCTCTGCTCCATGCTGTTAGTCCCTGAGGGTGACCCAGACGCCTTCGACATCCCGACCCCTCGCACCTACGCTGAGGCCACCTCGGGACCTTGGGCCTCTCACTGGATAGCTGCCATGGAGCAGGAGATGGCATCTTGGAGATCCACCGGCACTTACGTCGACGCAGTTCCCCCGCCTGGGGTGAACGTAGTCGATGGTCGGTGGCTCTTCAAGGTGAAGCGCCCCCCTGGAGAGCCGCCTGTCTTCAAGGCGCGCTACGTGGCCAGAGGTTTCAGTCAGCGCGAGGGGGTTGACTTCTTCCAGACCTTCGCCCCGACCCCGAAGATGACCACTCTTCGGGCGCTGCTACACGTAGCAGCACAGCGTGACTACGAGCTTCACTCCCTCGACTTCTCTACTGCCTTTCTTCAGGGCAGCCTACACGAGCAGGTCTACCTGCGCCGACCACAGGGCTTCACTGGTACCTTCCCTCCTGGGACCCAGTGGCTTCTCAGGCGCCCGGTCTACGGCCTGCGTCAGGCTCCCCGCGAGTGGCACGACACGCTACGTGCCACGTTAGCAGACCTGCAGTTCTTTCCGTCCTCTGCTGACCCTTCACTGTTTGTGCGTTCCGGCCAGACTCCGTTCTACATCCTTGTCTACGTAGACGACCTGGTCTTCGCTACTCCTGACAGGGACGCACTGGCCTCTGTGAAGGCTGAGCTGCTGAAGAGACACACCTGCACTGACCTTGGAGAGCTGCGTCGCTATCTTGGCCTGCAGATCTCTAGGGACAGAGCAGCACGCACCATCACTCTGACCCAGTCACACTTGGTGCGTCAGGTCCTTCAGAGGTTCGGTCTTCAGTTCTCCTCCGCACAGCCCACACCTCTACCCGTAGACCATGGGCTCTCTGCTCCCGTTCCTGAGGAGCCAGTAGAGCCCAGTGGCCCCTACGCAGAGCTGGTGGGTTGCCTCATGTACCTGATGACTTGCACTCGCCCAGATCTCGCATACCCTCTCAGCATCCTGGCTCGCTTTGTGGCTACAGGCAGACACCGACCTCAGCACTGGTCTGCCGCTAAGAGGGTTTTGCGTTATCTTGCTAGTACATCAGGCATGGGGTTAGTGCTAGGAGGACGCAGGCCAGTGGTCCTTACTGGGCACACAGACGCTTCTTGGGCAGACGACGCTGAGACGCTCAGGTCGTCGCAGGGCTACTGTTTCAGCCTTGGTTCGGGTGCTATCTCTTGGAGATCCACTCGCTCGTCGTCTGTGGCTCAGTCTAGCTGTGAGGCTGAGATCTACGCTGGTGCCATGGCGGCACAGGAGCTCCGCTGGCTGACCTTCTTGCTCACAGACTTAGGTGAGCGGCCTAGCTCTGCCCCGGTCCTGTACGCTGACAACAGGGCCATGATACTCCTGTGTCAGGAGCCTCGGCTTGAGGGCAGAGCGAAGCATATCCAGCTGCGGTACTTCCTCCTGCGCGAGCTACAGCAGCGCCGCCAGGCCCGCGTAGTTCACTTGGCCTCAGGTGCCAACACAGCTGATATCTTTACTAAGGCGCTTGCGCCTAAAGATCATCAGCGGCACTGTGTACAGCTTGGTCTTGTTCCTATAGCTGCTCCCCTGTTAGGATCCTGATTGTGTACTCTCTATTATATATGCTTGTCAGACTGGCCTTGTGGCCTTACCTCCAGTGGCTGGACTAGTAGTGCCACCCTGGCTTGCTTCAGATTTGGTTGTATTCTTGCTGACTGGTCTCCAGACCCCTGCCTCAGTGGTTGGACTAGTAGTGCCGCCCTGAGCTGTTTGCTTCTTGTTTAGTTTCACCCCTTGTCTAGCCTAGGGGGTGTGTCAACTTATACATATTATCTATGTAGAAGTTATAGGCTAGACTGAGGTATGCTTCTAGTGAGTACAACCAACTAGTATTTGTTCTAGGTTTCCACCTCTAGTAATCATTCGTTTCTACGTTAACACCATGTGCAGTTATTTATTACGTAAGGTGTTTTTTTGTCACATGTTCTGCTATTCCAATCCAATCAGGGTAATAGAGGGGGTCATTTGTTTCAAACGGGGGACAGTAGATTCTTAGCCTCATTTTGTCCGAGCCATCTAGATGGACACGCGTCAGTTTCTTAGCACCAACGGCTGGCAACTGTACAGCACTAGCGCGTCGCGCGGGCTTCTTGACTGCCAGCAAGAGTCATTACGAGGGGGGTTCGTTCACGGAGTCTCCATGATGTGGAAGTTGACTTTGTAGTGCATGACGCATTTTGAAATTGAGCAAAAACTGCCAGAAAAACCTCTTAAAACTGAAAAGGGGGGGGTCCTCAAATGATTTACCCCAAACAGCGGGTCCTCACAATCCCTTTACGATATTAAGACCCATGGTCCGGAAAAAAGACCCAGAGTCCCTTTTTCGGGGGGGTAATCATGCCGGGAGATTACGGTACTCTGTATGGCCTGACCCTATGTAGTCTACAAAACATACACACATATGTTTGACAAGACCTCCCTTCCACACCACCTCATCTACGAATGGAGTTGGCAAGTTGCAGTCTGACGATATGTTTCCATGAGTTGGCGAGGTACCTACTGTCCAGACGACTAAAATGTCACCTCTGTTGATGAGTTGGCGAGGCATTGCTGGGCGGCGTTGGCCAGTTGGGGTCTGAATATTTGACTCTATGACTATGAGCTGGCGAGGCACTGCCAGACGGCGTTGGCGAGGTGGGAGTGTTCGAGGGGTTTGGAGAGGTACGCATCCATGCCCACGGCGAAGCACTGCTCGCGAGTGCCAGCAATGACGTCCGCTGTGAGCGCTATGATGTGCACATGCCCCATGCCCCTCGCCCTCTCCCGCGCCCGAATCCTCCGAGTCGCCTCCAACCCGTCCATGCCCGGCATCTGGGGGGGAGGAGCAAGGGGGGGAAGGAAAATATTCAACCATGAGAGCCAGAGACTGAGGTAACTCGGCCATGCCTTCCATCTGGGGGGAACGAGCAAGGGGGGAAGAAGGATTGGGGTCAGATTGAGGTGACTTGCCCATGCCTGGCATCTGGGGGGAACGAGCAAGGGGGAAAGAAGGATTGGGGTCAGATTGAGGTGACTCGCCCATGGCTGGCATCTGGGGGGAACGAGCAAGGGGGGAAGAAGGATTGGGGTCAGATTGAGGTGACTCGCCCATGCCTGGAATCTGGGGGGAATTGCATGGGGGGAGAGGAAATATTTAGCGATGAGAGTCAGATTGAGGTAACTCGTCCACGCCCGGCAGTGGGGAGAAATGCAGGGTGGGAGAGGAGCCACGAGGGGCAAGAAGAAGAGATAACGGAAACCTGTGACAAACAAGACGGTGCTTCGAGACCCTGCACAGCACACGGCCTTATTGTTTCCAACCCTGCGCGATTAATCCGCCCACCTGGAGGTCCCTCCCCTCACCTAAGAGCCCATTCTTCCTGCCTCTTGCTCTCTCACCCACCTGCAGGTCCATGAAGACGAGGTGGAAGGGGTGGCCCGGAGCGAGGGCATCGACGGCCTTGAGCCCGCCATCCAGGGCGGTCACTCGCGCTCCGTGGCGCTCCAGCAGCTTGCCGGCCACCTTGCGGTTGATCAGGTTGTCATCCACCACCACCACCTGCTTCCCCGCCAGTATTCCCAGCTTCTCCCCCGCTGTTGCCGGCTCCCAGACTGCTGCTGCTGCTGCTAGTGATGGTGATGCTGGTGATTGTGATGGTGATGGTGATGGTGGTGGTGGTGGTGCTGCTGCTGCTGCTGGTGGCGCTGGTGCTGCTGCTGATGAGAAAAACGGAGATGTTGTGCGTGTGAGGGCCGGAGATAGCTTAGCGGCAGATGAAGAAGACGAGGCAGGACTGGGAGATGTGGGCAGAGCGCACGGGGGAGAGAACCCTGTGAAATCGAGCCCGCTCTCCAAACCACTGGTGCGGCCAGAACCACCGCCGCCAGAAGCGGCAGCAGCACCAGCACCACGGGCATTGGTGCTCTTCCGTATATTTCTTTGGCTGCCCCCAGACCTTAAACCTGCCCTCCTCGCAGCTTTTGAGCCATTCGTCTCTCCCGCTGCAGCCGCTCCATCTGTAGAATAGGCATGCCTCACAAGAGGACCAGGACCAACCCATGCTGCCACTAAATCAGTCGAAACTGCCGCAACAGCTGTAGCTGCAACAGCAGCTGCAGATGCACGTGTATCTGTAGCCGCTACAACCAGGTGCTCGAGAGAAGCTGCTCGCTGACCCAATGAGGCACTGTTGCCATCTATGCGTGCATCCGGCGCTGCCTCACGGAACACAGATGAGCCGCCGTCATGCATGTCTTGTGCTCCCTCAAACCCCCTGACGTCCACGCTGGTCAGGGGGGACGAGCTGCCCGACATGGGAGAGAACCGATCGCTGACAGCAGCAACAGGGGGGAGGAGATGAGGTGGCAGGTGCGTGGCTAGAGTGGCTGAAACCCCAGCCGTTGGTGACGTGTTGGCTGCAGCAAGGAGCTTGGCCCCCTCAAATGAGGCATGATCACAGGAGGTTTGTGGGCTCATGCTGCTGGCTGTGACTGGTGAGGTGACTGTTGGTGTGGTTAGGTTTGCAGAAACGGGACGGCCAGCGTTGGAAACAGGGGTGTTGGGAGTGGTAAAAGTGGTAGGCGTGGTGGGAGTGGTGGTGGGGGTGGTGGGAGTGGTGGGGGTGGTGGGAGTGGTGGGAGAGGTGGTGTGTGAGGCGTGCATGACGGCTCGAGGGGACTTGATGGCTTGCCAGATGGCGGCTGCAGAGCTGCTGCCTGCCTTGTGGACAGGAAGGCCACCCTCGATAGCGACATAACGGTGGCAGGAAGGCACCTGCTGCTGCTGCTGCCGCTGCTGCCGCTGCATGGAGAGCTCTCGGCTGTACCTCACTAAACCCCTCATTCCCGTGCGCTCCTCTTCTCTCCCCCTCAGCCCTCCCAGTGCTGTATCCTCATTATTGCCTCCACCTGTCTCCTTACAGTGACCGTTCTTCGTGTCTACAGTTAGCAGCGGCAGCAGCGCCGCCAGCACTGCTGGCTTTCTGAGAGGTTTCCTCACAACGGCATCGAAGCCAAGTGACAATAGAGAAGGGATGGATGGGGACGGGGAGAGAGACAGTGCAGGCGACCTGCTCCTGCTGCAACTGGCACGGCCCTTCGACGCATCGTTACAGTCACTTGGCTTACAAGCACAGTCAGCCGCAATGCCTGCAGCTACTGCTGCTCCTCTCTCCCCACTCTGCCTGCTCTTCCTGCTCCTGTCCCGGCTCCTCCCCCGGGTCAGATCCCTCCCGCTCTTCGACTGCTGAAAGCTCCTGCTCCCGTCTTCCCTTTGGCACTCCAAATCCGCCTCCTGGGAAAAGACGTCCCCTTTATAAGCATCCCCCTTATAAGGGCTGGAGCTGTCGGGCGTGGCAGGGTCTCCGGCAAGAGAGTCGGGTGCGAGCGGGAGGCACCCATGCAGGAGCACAAGGAAGGGCTCGGGCCAACCACTGCGGTTGCTCACCTCCCCCTCCTCCCTCGCCTCGCTCATCTGCTCGCCTTCCCCTGCCACTCCGATTTCGCTTCCTCGCCCTGGCATCGCAATGTCACCCCCCTGCCCAGCCACGAGGGCATGAATCTGGTCCACAGTCACTCCCAGCCGCCACATCATCTCCCCTTCCACCACCACCGCCCCCACATACCCCCTCCTCTCCGCCTCACCCAAACTCCTGTAGTGCCCCCCCTGCTGCCCCTCCCCCTCTTCCTCCCCATCCCCTTGCCCCTCCTCCTCTTCCCCCTGTTGCCACCACCACCGCTGCTGCCACTGCTGCTCCTCCTCCCCGCCCTCCACTCCTTTCCCACACGAGCAGCCGGCAGCGAGGGAGAGAGGAGGGCAGGAGAAGTGGAGGGGGGGAGGAGCAGGCGAGAGAGGGGAGGAGGGGGGTGAAGACGCAGAGGGGGTGGCGGCAGATGGACGGAATACAGGCGGGGATGCAAGAATGTCCGGCGAGCCGAAAGGCTCAAGATGAGGGGAGAAGTGGGAGCTGGTTGGCCCTGTGTTGGCCTGTGGAAGGATAGTAAGCGGCGGAAAGTGAGTCCTGCAACGACGTGGGGGTGCTGCCAGGGACGCAGCTCGAGCGGCTCCAATGCAGGGTTGAGAAGCGGATGGTGCGAGCTGTGCGAGGGGTGCAATGTGTGCGTGTCGTGAGAGATGCGTTGAGGCTGTGTGCGATGCGGAGCGAGAAAAAGGCGGAGGAGCCAGAGGAGTGGGTGGGTGCGGTGTTGATGCAGCTGTGAGGGAGATGCTGCGGCGAGCAGGGCGGTATCGGCTGGTTGAGGGAAGGGGAGGATGCAATGGCAGCATGTGAGAAGGAGATGTGGCAGCAGAAGAAGGTTCAAAACTCATTACAGCCTTGTAACACTCCTCCGCCCTCACCTCCACCCCCTCCCCCTCCTCCCCCTCCCCCTCCTCTCCCCCTTCCTCCTCCAACTCTTCCTGCTTTGCATGATGGTGTGAGCCATGGTGCATAGAATCGTGTGTATAATTCTCCATGGCATGGTCGGTTCTATGGTGCATGGCATGGTGTTGTGCGAGCAGAGAGGGCAGGTGGTGGAAGGAGGAGCAGTGGAGGGTGCAGGCGCCCAGGCGGCGCAGCAGACTGAGAGTCACAGCATGCCGCACCGGCCGGTCGTCCACACTCACCACACACACCCCCTCCAACGCATATGCAGCCCTGCCACCGCTCCCACCATTCTCCACACACACCATCTCCACTCCACTTGCCACCTGCTGCTGATGCTGATGCTGCGGATGCTGCTGCTGCTGCGGGGGCTGCTGGTTCCTTGTGGCCTGGGGGGACACATCGCACGAGCTAAGCGGAAGAGGCGAGGGGATGGAAGGCGGGACAGAGGGCATGGTGGGGGATTGCGGGGAGGTTGGGGAAGCAGTGGGCAAGGCTGGGAGTGGGAGAGGGGAGGGAGAAGGAGGAGTGTGGGGTGGAGGGGGAGGAGGGCTAGGAAGGGCGGGGAGAGGAGGCGTGTGGAGGAGAATATCAAAGAGAAAGGTGGTGCCGATGCCAGGCTTGCTAGCCAAGGAGATGGACCCCCCCATCAGAGACACAAGCCGCTGCACAGATTGGGAAGAGGGAGAGGGGGATGGGAGGGGGTTTGACGAAGGGCGGGGTAGAAAAGGGAATGTAGTAAGGACAGGACAAGAGTATAAGCCGTGGCATGTGTTGCGGGGAATGCCACACCAAAGAGAGAAGAGATATTATGGGTACCTGAGTGTCGATGCCCATGACTCGCATTCCTTCTGTGACTTGCTTCGACAAGTCCGCGTTTCATCTCACCAAGAATCATGTCTTTCATGGTTGCTCGAAGCATAGGGACATTTGAAAAGCTCACACTGAATAGATGTTGCTAAATTGTCACAACTCCACAAGTTGCTATTGACAAGAGGTGGCACACGGATTGTCCTTGTCAACTTGAAAAGGGTCACAAATTTTTCAAAGATTAGAGCTAGGGAGATCTGGGGTTGCTCACCTGACGACATAACACGCCCTCTAGGCTCTCGCCCTAGACAGTTGGCAGATTGGATTTCCAAAATGGTATCAGAGCAAGCTGGGGTTCAACTCCAAGTGTCAACACCACTTTTGAATCAACTCAAAAGCATGCTAAAAGAGTCCTTGCAAGGTACCTTGCATATAGAAAGCCCAATCCCTGTGCCTCCATGGAGGCGTGCCGTGCTGCGGTCTGCCTGGGCGTAAGGCTGGAAGATGTGTCTTCGAACGTGCCGAGGAATGCCGCTACCTGAGAGGCACAATAAGGGGCATGGTTCTCGAGTCGATTCAGCAACCAGCTAGGAGTATGGCCTGGAGATGTCTTTCCGTGCGTGACGTGGGATGCAGCTACATGAGGAAACAATAAGGGGCTTTGAGGTGTTGGTTCTACAGTCGATTCAACAACCAGATTGCCGTATGGCCAGAAGATGCACAATCGTGCATGACAGGGGATGCCACAACCTGAGACTGGCGGTGGAAGGAAAAGGGAACAGAGGATGAGGAGTTCGCTTGCTCGGTATATCATATCATGAGAGGGCAGGGCATGGCATGGCATGGCATGTGGAAATTATTGTGGCAAACTTCAAGCATGTTTGCTCAAGTAGGAGCATGTGAAATTTCATAGACATAAGTCACATAATCTATGTCAGAAAATACGCTTGGGGGGGGGGAGGGGGGGGGGGGGTCGAGCGAGCGTACAGCGTTTAAACACTTGACATGATACGCCGTGTATCGTATTGGAATACGCTGAAAAAGGATCAGGCAGACCGAAAGAAGGTATTCAAAAGAAAGAAAGAAAAACCTGCGACGGCTCGCGATGTGGCGAGTTGCAACAGATGGTTCGCACATCCCAATTTCAACATTGGGTTTGAATCTCAAACTTCATCCCCAAACTTCTCCCCAACTGCGCAACAAGCTCGGGCTCGAGAAGTGTAAGGACCTTGAGTGTACATTGCGCACAGCTGGAATGTGGGCAACTAGCATAAGGATAAGGGATTGGGAGTGGTTCAGGGAACATCCCGAACCTCCCAGTTCCTGAGGCATACACATGGATTAGGCATGAGCAAAAGGCTCGGCCAAGCCGGGCCGCCCCTCCCCGAAACTCAGGCCGTGCTTGGGCCGGCCGGCCCAGCCGGGCCTGCCCCCGGCCCGCCACCGCCCCGCCACTGCCCTGGTTTGCCTGGCAGGCGACTCGCCCCGGCCCCAGGCCAAGGCTGGCCCGACCCCTAAACCCGGGCACGGGCCGAGGAGTCCCCAAAGTTGGCCAAACTTTGGGTTGGGCCGGGCTGAGCCTATGCTCATGCCTACGGTAGATGAGAAGGATATGGAGGAGGAGGAGGAGGAGGAGGAGGAGGAGGAGGATATGGAGGAGGGGGAGGAGGAGGAGGGGGGGGGACGAGGTATTAGATGATAAGTAGCATGAGGGTGGGGGAGGAGGGTAGACATGTATTTTGCAACTTAGTTAAAAGCATTTTGGGGGGGCGAGGATCAAGGTGTTCAGGAATCAGCACCCCCATCACCCCCCCCATCTAATCGTACACAAATTTTCCCCTGCAGACCTTTTCTTACCCTCCTCGACCCTGCGTATGCGGTGTGTACCCACCCCGGCGTATTGCGTCTATACGCAAACGTTATGCTGGCATACAATACGCAATACGTATATTTTCCAACATAGCAGAGAATGCTAACGGACAATACGAAATGGCAAACGCACTTGTACCTGTGTCCTCCACAGCCACCAGCAATTATCTTGGGGCGCCTCGAAAACAGCCACCAGCAAACTTAGGAGCCTAAGAAATAGCCACCAGAAAAACGTAGGAGCCTAAAAAATAGCCACCAGCACCATAACATATTCAGGCACCTCAAAAATAGCCATCAGCAAATTTCAATGCGCCTCACAAATCAGCTATCGTACCTGTGTCCTCCACAGCCACCAACAGACGAACTGGCTGGTTGTGAGGCGGAGTGCTATCGCATGCATGCTTCACCATGCCGACCGCACCAAGGTCCATGCGGACACCCATACCCTCCCACGAGCACCACGTCTTCACTGCCGTCTGCCCACTCAGGGTCACACACTCGAGGTCAGAAGTAGCACCTGCAGCCGTCCAACGGTCACCAGTGCCGGCATCAGCGGCAGTAGAAGCAGCTGCAGCAGTAGAATAAGCGACCGTACCATTCCCATCTACAGCAGCAATGACACCATCGCCACCAGGTGCGCCCTTCCCCTTGTTTGCAGAAACTCGGTTGCTTGCAATAGCGAGGCCGTTGTCAAGGGACTGGCGCTTGTTGGCGGATGCTTTGGAGAGGGATGATGAGAACGAGGAGGAGGACAACGAGGAGGTGGAGGACGAGGCTGGGAGCAGCGACGGGGGATCGTCGTCGCCTGTGCTGCTAGCGACCCGGACAGCGATGAAGATGTGGCCCTTGGACGTGAATTTGAAGGCGTTGCCAATGAGATTGATGAGGATCTGATGCCAAAGAAGGAAACAAGAACAAAACCAACAACGGTCGTGAGCAAGGGTTTCGGGTTTAGTGCAGATAATGAAATGCACAAAGAGCGAAAAGGAAGGTCTGGAATCGTGTGAAAGCGGCTTCTGGAACCGTTTCATCACGATTCCAAGTACCTGCTTCACCCGGAGTGGGTCTCCGATGAGTGCCTTGGGCACCTCATCCGCCACGAAGGCCGCAAGCTCCACGGTGCGCTTCTCCTCGGCACTCTCTGTGAAGAGTGCGAGCACGTCGTCGAGCTCCGCACGCAGGTCAAGGGGGATGCGTTCGAGGCGCAGCTTCTCCGCCTCGATCTTGGAGAGGTCCAGAATGTCGTTGATCAGCGCACACAGCGCGCGCCCGCTGCTGCGCGCCGTCTCCGCGTAGTCCAGCTGCGTGCTGTCCAGGGGGGTCTCCAGCAGCAGATTCAGCATGCCTGCAGGGGGAAAAGGGAGAGGAGGATAAACATTAGCTTGTCACTTTATAGCCCATCTGCATGCTGTCCAGGGAGGTTTCCAGCAGTAGGTTCAGCATGCCTGGGATGCATGATCAAAGATGGTGTGAAGGAGGGGACTGTGTAGGAAAAAACGTGTTTCACGTTCAGTACGCTTGCGTATATACGCAAGCGAATATATGCAAAACGCCAGAGGTGGAGGGGTCTGGTATGCAGGGAAAACGGTGGTCTGGGCTAGGCTTGAGCAACGGGTCAGGTTGGGTCGGGTAAACCGACCCGAACCTGACTTTTTGACGGTCGGGTCAACATTCGTGGAGGGTCGACCCGATCCTCGGGTACCCGACCCGACCCGACTCGACCCAACCGACTAAACCCGACCCGTCGGGTCGGCTTATTACCCGTCCCTGCCCCTATGCCAACCCGACCCGACCCGACCCGAAATCGGGTCAGGTAGTACCCGACCTATTAAACCCGGGTCCGGTCGACATTTCCTGAACTCCGACCCGATTTGACCTGACCCGACCCGACCCGACCCGAACCTGACATCGGGTAGGGCAAAGTCAGGTCGGGTCGGGTCGGGTCGGGTCGGGTCGGGTCGGGTCCGTCGGGTTTATGCTCAACCCTAGTCCGGGCAGCTGATTTTTCTTTCCGGCCAGGTGGAATTTTCGGGTAAGAGGTGGGAAGCGTCGGGGGGAAGTGCCGGGAGGGTTGGAAACTTGGCATGAGTGCCAAGTTTCGTGCTTTTCATTTGGCAGGGGTTCAACTCCGCAGCAGCGCCAAATTTCGCTCCTGCCTTGAATTTTTTTTCCGATGCTTGCTTGGCAACCCCGCTTTCTACCCCGACAACTTTACTACAATGAACTCCGTTTGGTGGTTCTAATTTCGCCAAAAACCGCAACAGTGGCAGTGTATTCGCACGTTTACGCCCCGAAACTGTCAAACGCGTGGGGAATTACTATCCACTCGTAGCTCTGTTTCCTGCCCTCGAAACTTGGCAGGGTTGCCATTCTGCTTCCCGGTAACAGGTGCTCAAGGTGATGCATCTTGAGCTGAACTAGGTTTGAGCAAAATACCCGCGCGGGTCGGGTACCCAGACCCGGATCCGCTTTTGGGCGAGTCAGGTATCTGGATCCCGGAATATTACCCAGCGGGTCGGGTCCGGGTTACCTGGGTGGGTATTCGATACCCGTTACCCGAAACGTTACCCGACAGGGTGGGTAACGGGTACCCGTTGGGTCGGGTACTTAATACACGAGGTCGGGTATTCCACCTAGACATGGGCGTAAGTCGCGCTGTACTTTAGGTTTTGCAGTAAAACGGTTTAAAGCCGCGGTACACATTCAACGCGGCTCGGGATGGAAATGTGGAGGTCAAGAAGCGGGGACGGAAGTGATTGGAGAGCGAGAGGCGAAAGGAAAGCATTGACGCGAATTGGGCTGAGTTTTGTCAAGGGGAAATTTCGACTTGCGATACTGGGGGAAACGGAATTGCAGTGGGGGGATTGAATTTCGCGGGGGGGAATCGAAATTGAGGGGGGGGAGTTAGAATTGCGAGGGGTGGGGGGGATCGGACTTGACTGGGGGGGAATTGGACTAGAGAAAGGAAGGGGGAAACATAATTGACGGGGGGAGTTCGACGGGCGGGGGGTGGCAGGGCGAATCGAATTTTTGGGGGAGCGGGGGGGCTTCGAAATTGGGGGGCCAGGGGAATCGGATTTGAGGGGGCAGGGGGGGGAGTTTCGAAGTTGGGGGGCCAGGGGGAATTGAGGTCGTTTGGGGAAGGGGCAATCGAAAATGTGGGGGAAGGAGGTTGGGAAAACATGAGGAAAGGGGGATGAGTCGAGAGGTGGTGATCGGGATACACAAATGCCACAATCCCCCCTCAAATGTTTATCTGCAGGCAGCAAGATCTCGCCACCTCCAGCAGGCATCACTCAGTCACCACTGTTTCAACCCTAAAATGAACTGACTTGCAACCTGCCGGTAGGGCTTAAAAGAAGCGATGCTATTTAAAATCGCATCGCGAGATTTGTTTTCTTCAAATTATTAATCGCACATCGCGTTTGTGGTGCGATGTTTTTTTAAATCGCATGCGCTGAACTTAAAGCCCGACCGGCAGGTTGCATATTGGTACTGTTGAGGTAGGTGGGGCGGCAAATTATGATTGGTTGACGAGGAAAAAGATAAACGAAATTGTTTTGCGAAACTTTATCTTCGTCCAGCTCCTGCTTGCGCAAGAGTCCCCGAGGGCTATGCAACCTGGCAGAGGTGTCAGGTTTGAGCCCCGTCAGGTGGCAGGGGACTCACACTTGACTCTTTGCCATGTTGCGAAGGGGTTTGCGTGCCTGTGTTTTTGCGCAAACAGCCAACCTCTTTTTTTTTGTTCGGGCAAGTTGGAAGAAAACGAAACTCCAACTATTGGGCGTCAGTTTTGCCCTTGTGCAATCAAACACACATTGGTACGCTCGCACTAAACCGCCCGAAAGTCAAAATTTGTACAAATAATTACCCTTCGCGCACAGTCTTTGCTTCCTCGCCTCGATACTTGGCAGGGACGCAAACCTGCCAAGTTTGTCGAGGCACTAAGTTGAGGTGCTTGAGTCTCGTCAACCGCTGCTGCAGGTGGAGTCGGTTACAGGTTCTCAAGATGCAGCATCTAGAGAAAAAGAGAGTTGCAACCTGCCGGTCGGGCTTTAAAAATAGCGCGATGCGATTTTAAATTGCATCGCATTTCTGGTCTTAGGGGAAAAACTTCAAGAGACACATGCTCCAAAAACTTCGAGATCTGGTGTCGATTAGGGTTGGGTACGTGGGATTGGGGGTTGGCGAAATGAGGTTGGTTTGGGGGGGATCATTTGGGTGTCAGCGAATTAGGCTTGGTTTGATATGGGAGAGAGTGGTTTGGGTGTTGGCGAACAGGGATGTTGGCAAAAAAAGGTTGGCTTAGGAAGTGAGGGAGTAGTTTGGGTGATGGCAGGTTTGGTTGGGTTGGGAGGAAGTGGGTGGGGTGTAGGCTTGAGCAAAATACCCGACCGGGTCGGGTACCCGGGACCCGGATCCGCTTTTTGGGCGGGTCGGGTATCCGGATTCCGGAATATTACCCGGCGGGTCGGGTCCAGTTTACCCGGGCGGGTATTCGATACCTGTTACCCGAAACGTTACCCGACGTGTCGGGTAACGGGTACCCGACCCGGTCGGGTAAATACTACCCGAGGTCGGGTAAATACTACCCGAGGTGCGTAACTCGCGCAGTGATTTGGGTTTTGCGGCAAAACGGTTTGGGAGGTGAGGGGGGACGAGTGGAGCATTTGTGAGGAGAAGTTGGAGTTTGTAGATGGGGAGGAGTTAAGTGCGGTGAAAGGGAGAGAGTTGGGTGAGGTTGGAGGAAAGGTTGGAGTTTGTAGATGCGTAGGAGTTCAGTGCGGTGATTGGGAGGGAGTTTGGTTGGAAATTGGAGTGTGTAGACGGGAAGGAGTTCAGTGCCGTGAAAGGGAGGGAGTTTGATTGGAAATGTTGGAGTTTGTAGACAGGGAGGAGTTCAGTGCGGTGAAAGGGAGGGAGTTTGGTTGGAAATTGGAGTTTGTAGACGGGGAGGAGTTCAGTGCGGTGAAAGGGAGGGAGTTTGGTTGGAAATGTTGGAGTTTGTAGACAGGGAGGATTTCAATGCAGTGAAAGGGAGGGAGTTTGGTTAAAAATTGAAGTTTGTAGACGGGGAGGAGTTCAGTGCGGTGAAAGGGAGGGAGTTGGGTGGTCAAAATTCGACCCCCAGAAAATGCGACTCTCATTTGAAAGTCGCGTTTTGAGAAATCCTATCCAGCCTAGCCCGTTTTTAGGATGCCCACTAGTAGGAGGCGGGTACTAATACCCGTTTTTCAGGGTAACCGGGTCGGGTATACCCGGACCCGCCACGCAGTTATTGTATTACCCGTCCCTAAGGCCGGGTCCAGGTAAGGGTCCTGGGCATATTACCCGACCCACTAAGTCAATTTCGCGAGGTGGCGAAGTTCGTGGTTTGGCTCGCTAGATCGCGGCAATTTTGCTAGAAATCGAAACCAGCGAATTTCCACCATTTCAATCGCTCTAAATTTATCTGCATCTACGGAATCCAACCCCTGCCCTTCTTACATCCTCTACGTGGGAGAGGGACCACGCTACCCCTTCTCCTGTCATTACGCTTACTCAATTTTGCACGCACCTAGGAAAGCCGACATACCACTGGTAGAGTCTCAAAAAGGAGGCGTAGAGTAGGTCGCCACTAGGAATTACAAGAGTTGTGTGAAATTCCGACCAGATGGTCGAAATTTCTCAACCAGCGCGAAATTGTTCACTCTGGTTTTCGTCTGGTAGTTGCGCGACCTGATTTCGGGTCGGGTCTACCCGACCCTGTCGGGTACCAATTACCTGACTAGTCAGGTATCAATTCGGGTATCGGGTACGCAGAACCCCGGCGGGGATCGGGATACTCGACCCGTACCCACCCGGGTAGTATGTACGTCAATAACGTACTACCCAACCCGGTGAAAAGTCGGGTACGGGTACGATCACCCGATCCGCACGAGTAGTTTGCTCAAGCCTACCCCAATTACCCATCCCCATTTTATTAATAGGCAAATTTCATACAGCTTCACATCCGCATACTACTACTACTCGTAAGTGGGCAAATTCGCGTTTGGCGTAAATTCGTTAGCGAATTTACGCTGGCGTACATTCGCCCATACGCCAGGGGCCGGTTTTAAATTCGCTCTGAAATTCCTTTGGCCCGGGCAGGAAAAAAAAAGTGTCTGGGCAAGAAAAATACCAGTTTCTCGGGTAGTGGGGGCGTGGGGGGTTTCATGGCAGCCCTTTTTAATCACAAAATTAATATGCTACTTAAATTTCATGGCAGGTTCTAGAGTCAACATTGCTGGTCGAATTTTCGTGAGGTAGGCTAATTTCTGTGCTTAAAAACGATCGACTACCTAGAACGCCGCGGAATGAGGGTAG